CAGGCTGTGACATGAAACCCAGAGAGAAGTGATGATGGCAGATAGCAGGCTGAGAATAAGGATGGTGGTAAGGATCAGGCATAGTCTGGTTATATTTTGAACATAGTCTGTGGTAAATACTTGCTCAGGGATTGAATGTTGATTGTGTGTGTATGTGAATATTACCACCAAGAACCTGTCGTAAGGCTACAGAGATAATCACAACTAAGCTCATCCACCAACATTTACTGCAAGGCACAGGGACAAGTTAAAGAAAAACATTAGAAGAGTTTGCATTTGAGTTTGGGATATCAAGTTTTTTGGTTTCAGTACATTAGGAATAAATACACACATAGCATTCCCCCCCCCCCGAAATCTATCAAATGATTTTATCAAGAACTTCTATAGACATTTCTTTATGAATTTTTAGGCTCTGATTTTATTCTTTCAGACATCGGTGACCTTCATCTTCTCTAAGTTTTACTTTCAATCATACAAAAAAGATAACAGGTAGTAAATCTCACCCTAGTTGTCAGTGGTCTTATTTACCTTTATTTGTTTAAGTCTCTACTTTCAACTCATTATGGTTGTCTATTCTTAGGAAAATCTCTAAAATTGTAAGTAAAACATTTCCTAATTCTAATAATTATTATGATAGAATATGACATGGAGACACTTGACTGCAGCTTTGGCACAGTGATTTGTTTTCAAGGCTCAACTGTAATTTAAAATCGAAGCTTTATTTTATCACTTCGTGGCCTTTTGGCTAAGATCAAGTGTAACACTGAAGCTTTATTTCAAAGAGATTGCATTTGGATTAAAGGGTTTTAGTCCTCGTGCTGTCAGGGAGGGGCAGATGGAGGTTCAGGAAGTGACAGGGGCCATGGAACCAAGGATGAGCTCAGTCCCCGAGTGACCAGAAAGCCGCTACTCCTCACACTTGGCCTTTTGGACTTTTTAGAAACCTGTCCCTTCCTGCTCTCCTGACATTCCCTCACTCTTAAAAATTTTGAATAAGACAGCACTAGAAACATCAAGAAAACATTGTTTGCCTGCTGGCCTGAAACCTTATTTCAGAATCACCTAGGATATTTATTTAAAAAGGTAACAAAAACATAAAAAACTGATTTCCCAGTCTCCAAGCCCCAGAAGTTCAGGTTCCTCCAGACTGCTAAAGGCCAGGAATGTGTGTTTTTAACAAATGTTGTCAAGTGATGATGTTGCAGTTCAGAAACCCACTGTAAGGAGACCAGAGAGCCCTCAGGCAGGCCACACTTAGTGCCTGTAGCTTTGGCATCTGGTCTAGGGGGCCATGAAGAGCAGTGGGAAATGCGATCTAGCATGGCACAAAGAAGGCACAAAAAGGGGAGACTGGCTGCTGTCAGGAATCTGCTCTCAAAAGAACTTTGCACAACTCCCTAGCAACCCAGGCCTACATATGAAACATGACTTAGGAACCTAGGGGTGAAGGCATGAATGTAGATGGTATGGTATGTTCAGCTGCCTTAGTGTCCTCGGGTATCAAACAAGAAACATGACCTGTGTCTTACTGGTAAATATGAATGTGGTCTGTGGTCCATAGATCAAGCCTAGAGATTCTGTAGGGGTATTCAGTTATGCCCTTTTTCTTATAAAAAGGTATTTTCTTGTTATTATGCCCTTCCCTTATAAAAAGACATGAAAATTATAACTAAAAGTTAAGAAAATAAAAACATTAAACCAGGTTGGGGTGGGGGGAAGCAGAACACATAGTTGACAGAACTTTGATTCATGGCAAAGTGAGTAACTACCAAAATGAGGTAACTATTTCATGTTACCTCTTCTTGGGAGTCACAGGATAAATTGCCACATTAAACATTATTTGATGGTCTCTACGATAGTGGTAATGACAGGTATCTACATATGTTACAGGATCCTAGGTGTCCACCTGGATAATTCCTATCATATTCAGATGAAAGAGTGTAACTCATTAATGCAAATGACAACTGCGTGGGTACTTAAAAGGAAAGAAAACTTTGCAATTAAGTTGCTGGCATATTAAAAAAGAACTACTAGCTAGAGAACTGCCTGATGACCTAGTTCACATATTATGGGATGGTGGGGTATTTTTGGTGGAATTTCAGAATTCTATGAAAGTCAAATGTAATTTAAAACAGAACATAAAGCAGCTTAGTAATGAATTGCCGTAACCATCTACACAATTGGATTTTACTTCCAATAATGATGAGGCACTAAAATTGTAGCTTCTGTTGTGCCCGGTTGTATTTCTAAACATGTTGGGTTTGCCTTCAACTCTATCGTGGCATGAATGTGATGAGATATATACAAACAGCTATCATTTTATGCTCAATTGTTTTTGTTATTTTTCCCCCCAGCAATTGGGACATCTGAGCAAAAGCAGATGACACTGGCAAAATATTGTGTTTTTTTACAAACAGAATTAAGGCCAATTTACACATCATCACATAGAAGCCGTCTGTTGATAGAGCTCCAAAAATTCATTTCTGTTTGTTTGACCCTCCACTGCACTTCTTCGTTCCCTGTCTAGTATTTTCTGTTAAATTCTAGGACTTTTCCTTTTAGACCCTCTCACCATCACATTGTCCACTGAGGCTACTCCCTCACGTCAAGCCTCCCTTTGGCCCTTTAACTCTCTCTGACAACCCGATAAGCCTTTGTTCTTTTTTGACTGCTCTTCTCATAGACCAAATCCACTTTCTAACTTGTCACTTCAGAATCTAAAAGTAGAAGGGAAGCTTCCTTTTTGCCACCCCCAGGAGAATGTTCTGTAGCCTGCCCACCCTCCTCCCACTCTTATTCCAGCTTTCTTTGGCACCAGTCTCTGGGCTGTCATCAAATATACCCACCGACTGCAAATTTAGACAGCGGGGGCATAGGTTAGCTTTACAGTTCAGCCATTTCTTTGTTCCATCCAGGAAATCCTAGGTCAGGTTTCCATGTCATTTTTTCATGTCCTCTATAGCCAGCAGATTCAGTCATTATAGAAAGAAAGGTAACATTGCATGATGGGGAAGAAGATCTTCCTGGATTTCATTTACTTTCTACAAAGAGGATATGGCTGAGTTCAATACCAGAGGAGAAATTCCTCTATATTCAGATAGTGAACATATTTCTAAGAAGCCTGCATAATCCTACTTTTAGTTACACTACTTAGATAGAATTCGTTACTAAGCTCCTGGAAAGTCTTTGCATTGTTTGTTTTTAATCATTAAATAATCATTGACTACTTCATCCTTTTCTGAACTCTCCAATTACTACTCCCTGCAGAAAATTACCCTATATTCTCTATGCCTGCCACGTCATGGTGCTCACATCTTCCCAGCTTTCACCTCTTGCTAAGATTGTGTATATTGAAGTGTGGAAACAGGTCTAGCTTTCATGAAGCTTTATTATACTTTTAAAACCAGTGTGATACGTTGAAAAGCTTTGTTCTGAGGATTGTGATTCTTCTGGGTCTACCTATAGCTGAATATTTCCTATAACCTGAGAACCTCAATTTTTATCAGTTAAACGGATGATTGCAATTAGAAGCATACATTGACCTAGAGAACTTTGAGGATACTTGTCAGTTTAACAGACAGAAGTCTTTTTCTCATTTCTATTAATGGGGAAGTCCTATGCTTAAGATATCGAGGTACTGGCTGGGCGCGGTGGCTCACGCCTGTAATGCTAGCACTCTGGGAGGCCAAGGTGAGGGCATTGCTTGAGCTCACGAGTTTCAGACCAGCCTGAGCAAAACTGAAACCCCTTCTCTACTAAAAATAGAAAAACTGAAGCAAGAGAATCACTTGAGCCCAAGAGTTGAAGGTTGCTGTGAGCTATGACACGACAGCACTCTACCAACGGTGACAAAGTGAGACTCTGTCTCAAAAGAATAAGATACCTAGGTGCTGATAAGAAGTTCAATTGAATGTGTAGGCTGAATGTAAAGCCCAGTAAGGGAACTTCAAAGTGTACAACAATTAAAAGATGAAAACCCACCTTTTTTCTGAAGAAAGCACTCTGAAGTAGTCCTTTTTTATTTCTAAGGTTTTAAGTAGTATTGAGAAAAATTGAACTTTTTACTTGAAATATAAGATTATAAAGGTTTTGTTTTTTTGAAGTAGTCCCTGAATGTAATGACGCACTGTGTCAAAATAGTATATTTCAGTACAACCTGTTTTTTCCTCTGGACAGAAGACAGACTTCTTAGCACATAAGTCATTGCTTAAGAAAAACAGCTAGGCACGGTGACATACGCCTGTAGTCCTAGCTACTCAAGAGGCTGAGCCTAGGAGTTCTAATCTAGCCTGGGCAATAAAGCAAAACACCATCTCTGGAAAAAAAAAAAAAAGGAAGAAAAAACAGAAAAGTATAAATGACCATAATATGACGTATGCACAAATTACACTTGATAAACCATTGAGAAACATTTCAGATTAAAATTTAGGAATAAAATGATGTCTAACAGTGTCAAAGTTTGGGAACTGAGAGGGTGTATACGTGTGTGTGTGTGTGTGCACGCGCGTGTGTGTTCATGGGTTTCTTACCTTGGGTCTTAGATCTACCTTTGAATTTTTGAATAACAGACATCAGCATTTTGCTTAGGCGGCAGACGCAAGAACTACCGAGCAAGAGCTGTTCTCATTTATCAGACAAATAAAATAAGCAGAGGCACTTAGCACAGACAGCTTCTTAAGTCACATGGTAAGGCGGAGGTTGAGCAAGTAATACATCTTTGCAGCTTAAGGTTGTAATTCACTGTCTGCCATGGAGACTCTGTTGCTTCTAAGACTCACTTTATTTCAAAAAAAAAAAAAAAAAGGGCGAAATGTTATTAAACCTCTGTAGGAGGAATTGGAACAGGAAGAGTTTTGCACTTAGTCTCTTTAAAATTTTTTTGAATATCAGCAGGATAGGAGATCTTTTGCAATATTTTGACTATCAGCTGAAAGAGAATATGTATTAAACTAATAATTTGCAATCTATGATCTATTCGTTGTCCTTTTGTTTCTTTTCAGGTGGGGCCCAGGCAACATGGGTGACTGGAGTGCCTTAGGCAAACTCCTTGACAAGGTTCAGGCCTACTCCACTGCCGGAGGGAAGGTGTGGCTGTCTGTCCTTTTCATTTTCCGAATCCTGCTCCTGGGGACAGCTGTCGAGTCAGCTTGGGGGGACGAGCAGTCTGCCTTTCGTTGTAACACTCAACAGCCTGGTTGTGAGAACGTCTGCTATGACAAGTCCTTCCCCATCTCTCACGTGCGCTTCTGGGTCCTGCAGATCATATTCGTGTCCGTGCCCACGCTCCTGTACCTGGCTCATGTGTTCTACGTGATGCGAAAGGAAGAGAAGCTGAACAAGAAAGAAGAGGAACTCAAAGTAGCCCAAACCGATGGCGCCAACGTGGAGATGCACTTGAAGCAGATTGAGATAAAGAAGTTTAAGTATGGCATCGAAGAGCATGGCAAGGTGAAGATGCGCGGGGGCTTGCTGCGAACCTACATCATCAGCATCCTCTTCAAATCCATCTTCGAGGTGGCCTTCTTGCTGATCCAGTGGTACATCTATGGATTCAGCTTGAATGCTGTTTACACTTGCAAAAGAGATCCCTGCCCACACCAGGTGGATTGCTTCCTCTCACGCCCCACTGAGAAAACCATCTTCATCATCTTCATGCTGGTGGTGTCCCTGGTGTCTCTGGCCTTGAACATCATTGAACTCTTCTACGTCTTCTTCAAGGGTGTGAAGGATCGTGTGAAGGGAAAGAGCGATCCTTACCACGCCACAACTGGCCCACTGAGCCCCTCCAAAGACTGCGGATCTCCAAAATATGCGTATTTCAACGGCTGCTCCTCACCAACCGCTCCTCTCTCACCCATGTCTCCACCTGGGTACAAGCTGGTAACTGGCGACAGAAACAATTCTTCTTGCCGCAATTACAATAAGCAAGCGAGTGAGCAAAACTGGGCTAATTACAGCGCAGAACAAAACAGAATGGGCCAGGCAGGAAGCACCATCTCTAACTCCCACGCACAGCCTTTTGATTTCCCCGACGATAACCAAAATTCTAAAAAACTGGCTGCTGGACACGAACTCCAGCCACTAGCCCTCGTGGACCCGCGCCCTTCGAGCAGAGCCAGCAGTCGCGCCAGCAGCAGACCTCGACCTGATGACCTGGAGATCTAGACACAGGCCTGAAAGCATCAAGATTCCACTCAGTTGTGGAGAAGAAAAAAGGTGCTATAGAAAGTGCACCTTGGGTGTTAATTTTGTTCCAGTGGAGGTGGTACTCAACAGCCTTAGTCCTGAGGCTTGGGAAACAAAGACATTAGATTATCTAGGTTCATTGAGGGTGTCTGGGCCGGGTGGGTGGAGAGGGAGGGATAAGAAAGGTACATGTTGGTATTTAATGTAGTGGATTCAATGAACTTAAATTCTAAGTAAGAGTTCCATTAGGTGATACATAGATAAGGGCTTTTTCTCCCCCTGACACCCCTAAGAATGGTTCTGTGTATGTGAAAGAGTGGGTGATCATTGTGGCTAAATTTCTTTTTTTTTTTAATTTTTTGCCAAGAAACTGAAATGACTTTGGCCAGGAATAAATACTTCCTGAACATCTTATTTCTTTTCAACAAGAACGGAGGATTGTCCGTATGTCCCTGCTAAAACATTCCATTGTTAAAATTTGCACTTTGAAGGTAAGTTCTCTAGGCCTGACCCTCCAGGTGTCAATGGACTTGTGCTACTATACATTGTTTTCTTGGTATCAGTTTAAAATTCAGACAAGGCCCAAGGAAAATAATTCCCGTGAATTTGCAAATCTCAGCACCCTTTTCACATCCACTTTCACCGTGTCGCTACCATTCACTTTTTTATCATTCCTCAACTACTAGTCACATTCATTTAACGGTATCTGTAAACATTTTTTAAACAACTGGGACATGACTTAACGTTTTTTTTTGGATTTAGAGTCAGGGAAGCAAGCCATGCTCAATATTTAACAATCACTTGTATGTGTGTGTGTGTGGAAGAGTGTGTTTTCTTTGTCATGTATTGGTACAAGCAGACGCAGCATAAACTCACAAACACTTATTTGAAAATAATGCACACACAGTGTTCAAATTTGAACCTTTCTCATGGATCTCATGGATTTTGTGGTGTGGGCCAATATGGTGTTTACATTATGTAATTCCTGCTGTGCAAGTAAAGCACACCTTTTTTAGTTTTTCTTTTCTTTTTTTTTTTTTTTTTCTGCCTAAAATGTTTTGCCCCATGTATCCCATTAGGGATACTGGTTTTGTTAATTATGGTTCTTTACCTTTCTCTCTCTCTCTCTCTCTCTCTTTTTTTTTTTTTTTTTTAGAGTATAGCAGTAATGCTATTACTGAAATGAATGATTTCCTTTTTCTAAAATGTAATCATTGATGCTTGAATGATAGAATTTTAGTACTGTAAACAGGCTTTAGTTGTTAATGTGAGAGACTTAGAAGAAATGCTTAGTGAACTTTTACATGTGCCTAAATGAATTTTGCAGTAACTGGTATTCTTGGGTTTGTCCTACTTAACAGTAATTCAGAACTTGTATTCTATTAGGAGTTTGACAGTCTTTTGGAGTGATCAGCAACTTTGATGTTTGCACTAAGATTTTATTTGGAATGCAAGAGGGGTTGAAAGAGGATTCAGTAGTACACATGTAACTAATTTATTTGAACTATATGCTGAAGACATCTACCAGTTTCTTCAAATGCCTTTTTGAAACTCATCACAGATGATTGGTGAAAATGCTGAGTATTATACTTTTCTTCTTGCACATCAGCTATGTAAACAGTTTTGTACCATGAAAAATACTAATGTGTTTGACATTCCATGTTAAACTACTGTCATGTTCAGCTTCATTGCATGTAATGTAGACTTAGTCCATCAGATCGTGTGTTCTGGAGAGTATTCTTTATTCAATAAAGTTTTAATTTAGTATAAAGATAGCCTCTAGATCCCGTGTCATTTTTGAGACGCATTCATTGCACCTATTTGATTTTTAAAAATATTTCTATTGGTTGTGAGGACTTGGGCAAAGAAGATTAACATTTTCTCTGACTTTTAAAAGGACAGTATTTATGATTAGCCACGTTCAGTGCAACACTGCTAGTAAGCCTTTTTGGATATTTATTCAACGGAGACATATACAGGTGTTGAATTTGAAATATAACTTTGATTTCCTGAAAATTTCAGATTAATACGAGGGTACGAACAATTAGGTTAGAGTGTTTGCATTGTGAGGTAAAGTCCCTGTTATAGTTGTGTCCTGCCCCGAGGAGGTGAGCCATGTACCTTTACCTCATGCACATTAGGTGGGAGCACACCCCCTCCTCCTCCCTTCTTCCCCTGCCTCACTCCTCCCTCCAATTTGAATTGAATTGAGTTTTTCTCTTATGTGGGCCTGTATTAGTTTATCCACTGGCTTCATATAATTATTGAATGCATTGGACTTAACTTTTCCATTCTTGTGATACTTTACTAAGAAGAATATATTTCAACTCCATCCAGGTTAGTACAAAAGATGTAAAGTCTCCACCTTTTTTGTGGATGAATAGTAGTCCTTAGTATACATATATTAGTCTGTTCCTGGGTTGATGGGCACTTAGGTTGTTTCCACATCTTGGCAATGATAAATTGAACTGAAATAAATAATTTAGGGCACATGTCCTTATGGTAAAATTATTTTTTTTCTTCAGGGTGGATGCACAGTAATGGGATTGCAGGGTCCAATGGGAGGTCTACTCTGAGTTCTCTGAGAATTCTCCAGCCTTCTTCCACAGAGGCTGTATTCCTTTGTAGTCCCACCAACAGCATAGAAGTGTTCCCCTCTCTCTACAGCGTGCCTGCCATCCACACATTTCACCACTTACAAAAATTGACTCAAGATGGAGAAAAGATTTAAATCTAAGACATGAAATGATAAAAATTCTATAAGCATTTATTGCCTGCTGCAAAACAGACTTGTAAATAGCTGGAGCATAAAAATAATAGTAATTTAGAAATAATCTAGTCCAATTCAGTTTCTTCTTTATTTTTTTTTCCATATCTGTTTTTTCTTTTATTTTTGAGACAGTGTCTGTCTATGTTGTATGTTACCCATGCTGGACTTGTGATCCTCCCATCTCAGTCTACCAAGTAGGCACTGTGGGCGTGCACCACCATGCCCGGCTTTTACACACGTATATATAAACAAAGGTTATGTCATTTATCTAAAGTCAGAGTATTATCTAATAATCAGTTTCCCACTCAAGTATTTGATATATTTGGTAGTGGTCAGCATTTCTTCGAGTACTATCATTTGGATGCCTGAGAATCTGATAAAAGAGACGAATTTTCTTTCTCCAGCCCCCACCTCTCTCTGTGCTTGGATTTACTATGGGGAATAGAGAGACATGACTTATTTGCAGATGTGTATCTTATACATGTAGGGTACATGAGGTGTAGAAGGAAAATGGATTAGACTGATGAATGGTGAAGTGAGGGGCGGAGGTAAAAATCCCTGATGCATGGGTGTGGCGGAGGGCAGGCAGGTTCATCTTTCAGAAATTGTTGTGCAGGATATCCTAAACATTCCTTGATGCTAAGACTTTTTTTTTTTTTTTTTTTGTAGAGACAGAGTCTCACTTTTTCGCCCTCAGTAGAGTGCAGCGGAGTTGCTCCAGCAACCTCCAACTCCTGGGCTTAGGCGATTCTTCTGCCTCAGCCTCCCACATAGCTGGGACTACAGGCGCCCGCCACAACGCCCAGCTATTTTTTGTTGCAGTTTGGCCGGGGCTGGGTTTGAACCCGCCACCCTCGGTATATGGGGCCGGCGCCCTACTCACTGAGCCACAGGCGCCTCCCAATGCTAAGACTTTTTACTATTTAAAAAAACTATATATTAGGCAGGTACAGTGACTCATCCCTGTGATCCTAGCACTTTAGGAGGTCACCGTTGAAGGATTACTTGAACCTAGGAGTTTGAGGCTGCAGTGAGCTATCATCCCATTACTGCACTCCAGCCTGGGCAACAGAGCTAGATCCTGCTTCAAAAAGTAATATATATGGTTATAAGATACATATTATACATTTTGTACATGTACACAGTTTAAGACACTACAGAAGTCTATGAAAGGGAGAGTCTCACCTCATTCTATTCCCTAACATACACACCAGAGAAGTTCTAATTCCCAAAGGAAATCACTTTTAAAAATTTCAGACAATAACTATGTATCAGGGAGTTTGTTAAGCAGTGGGGATTCATAGAATAACCAGCAATTTTCAGGAAGGTTACACCGTGAGTTCCTCCAGAAGATTTTCAAATTTATGTTCTATTCTCCATTTGGCTTATCTCAATAGGCTACCTGCTTTCACCAACTAAAAATTAAATTGAGTTGTGTTAAAAATTGTGAGAAAACTGTGCAGCTTTGTTCCACAAATATTTATTGGACACTCATTTTTCACATAAAAGTTCATGTTTAAAAAATTTGAACATTTTAAGTCAGATGCAATGGCCATGCCGGTAGTTCCAGCCACTTGGGAGCCTGAGGCAAGAGAACAGTTTGACCCCAAGTTCAAGGTTGCACTATGCTACAATCATGCACTTCAGCCTGGGCAGTGTAGCAATGTACCATCTCTTTAAAAAAAAAAAAAAAAAAAACTAGAATATTTTGCATCCTCTAGAAGCAGTTCTTTCTGTTCAGTAGAACTTTCTGTGGTGAGGAAAGTGTTTTATTCCCTTCCATATGGCAGCCACTTGTCACATGTAGCTTTTGGGTGCTTAAAATGTGCCTAGTAAGTCTGAAGTACTAAAACTTTTTTGGAGAGGGGGGAGAGAGTCTTGCTCTGTCATCTGGGCTAGAGTGCAGTGACATCATAGCTCATAGCAACCTCAAATTTCTGGGCTCAAGTGATCCTCCTGCCTCAGCCTCCAGAGTAACTGGGACTAAACACATGTGCCACCACACCTTACTAATTTTTTAATTTTTTTGTAGAGATGGAATCTCTCTTTTAGTCTGGTTTCAAAGTCTGGGCCTCAAGCAATCCTCCCTCCTCAGCCTCCAGAGCTCTAGGATTATAGGCATGAGCCACTGTGCCCTGCTTGAATTACTTTAAAAAAAATTTTAATTTAAATAGCTACATATGGCTGGTGCCTACCATGTTGGGTAGCACAATGTGAGGAAAAAAGTTTTCTCTAATACTGAGTGGAAATGAGGAAGAGATAATCAAGACAGAAACAGAAAGGATGGAATGGAGAAAATTTTCAAGGTCTTTTTCAGTCTTATTTTTTAATAGTATTTCTTATTTTATAAATAATATGAAATTCTTATTTTAAGCAAAATCTCTGCCATTATGTAAAATTTCTTAGTCTTTAGAGACATAATCATAATTTTTTTTTGTTGTTGGGGATTCATTGAGGTACAAAGAACCCGGTTACGTTGATTGCATCTGTTAGGTAAAGTCCCTCTTATAATTGTGTCCTGCCCCCCAAAGGTGTGTCACACACCGTCATTCACCCCCCACTCCGTCCCTCCTTCCTTCTCTCTGCTCTTCCCTTTCCCCACTCTCTCCCCCCTTCCCTCTCTCTGCTCTCCCCTTGCCCCACCTCCCTCCCTCATTACCATTGCTTTAATTCAAAATTTTGTTCACAAAATTTTCTATTTTCAAGAGTGAATGAATTGTCTGATATCTTTAGATAACAGGAGGGAAAAATCCAGAGGACTCATTTTGTTTAGTGTATTTTCATCCTAGTCCCTGTACACTTTTATTAAACTTCCAGTCCAGGGGCCGTTCCTTTACCTTATTTTATGAAAATTAGTGAATCTCTCAACTTACCCGGATGCTAGTTCCCTGCCCACACACCACGTCCTTTAAAAATTCTTAACATCAGATTCCAGCATGCCAAAACATCTGTGCTTTATACTTGGAGGGAGAGCAAAATAATGAAGTTTGGGGGCTTATTAAAATCTCAAAGTGAGTTCACTTTATAAACGGCACACCAACAGTGTAGAAATATGTTTATAATCTCTACTGGCTCCAAGATTCTGTTTTCACCTTTTCTTGGGCAAATACGGCTGAGCTCTTGGCAGGTCAGAATTTGCTGCTGGCAATTTTCAGAACTCAGCAGGTGACGTGGAAGGAACAAACACCACAGCAACACTGCTTTAAGATGACCAGAAAAAGAAGGGTATCA